GAGAATCGCTTGAACCCAGGAGGCGGAGTTTGTGGTGAGCCGAGATCGTGCCATTGCACTCCAGCCTGGGCAACAAGAGCGAAACTCCATCTTAAAAAGAAAAAAAGAAAAATTCAAGAGAACTACTGTATAATTTACTTCTAATTTTCAATCTTTTTGATACTATGTATATATTCATTATATACACTTAAATATTACATGTGCAGTATCCTGTAGCAAATTTTTTTCTCTTAATAAACCAGTTAACATCTTTCCATGTAAATTCATGTAAATCTATTTCATCCTTTTTAACAGCTGCACAGAATTTCCTTGTATGTTAGCATCATAATTTTTTTTCTTTCTTTTTTTTTGAGATGGAGTAAGTATCACTCTGTCGCCCAGGCTAGAGTGCAGTGGCATAATCTCGGCTCACTGCAACCTCTGCCTCCTGGGTTCAAGCAACTCTCCTGCCTCGGCCTCCCGAGTAGCTGGGACTACAGGTGTGTGCCACCACGCCCGGCTAATTTTTGTATTTTTAGTAGAGACGGGGTTTCACCATATTGGCCAGGCTGGTCTCGAACTCCTGATCTTGTGATCCACCCACCTCAGCCTCCCAAAGTGCTAGGATTACAGGCGTGAGCCACCGTGCCTGGCTGTTAGCATCATAATTTAATGAAGTACCATCAATGGACACTTAACCAAATATTGAAAATCCTTATACATACAAGTTCTCATACTCATTTACTTATTTAGGTTAACTTTGTAGAAGTGGAATTGCTGAATTAAAGTGTGTTTTAAAGTTTTATGTGCATTTTTAGAATGCAAATATTTGGCTGGGAGCGGTGGCTCACGCCTGTATCCCAGCTCTTTGGGAGGCCAAGGCAGGTGGATCACTCGAGCCCAGGAGTTCGAGACTGGCCTGGGCAACATAGGGAGACCCGTCTCTATTACTACAAAAAAATATTGCCAATATTCGTTTATGTGGTATGCACTGTAAATAATTTTCCTTATTTTTTAAAATTGTGCTTTCTGCAATACAAACTTTTTGTTGTCATTTTGTTATTGTGGTTAAAAAACATGAAATCTGGCTGGGCGTGGTGGCTTACACCTATAATCCCAGCACTTTGGGAGGCCGAGGCAGGTGAATCACCTGAGGTCAGGAGTTGGAGACTAGGCTGGTTAACATGGTGAAACCCCGTCTCTACTAAAAATAACGAAAAAAAAAAAAAAAATTAGCTGGGCGTGGTGGCAGGCACCTGTAATCCCAGCTACTCTGGAGGCTGAGGCCGGAGAATCGCTTGAACCTAGGAGGCGGAGGTTGCAGTTGAGCCAAGATCGCACCACCGCACTCCAGCCTGGGCAACAGGAGCAAGACTCCTTCCCCCGCCGAAAAAAAAAAAAAAGAAAAAGAAATCCAAATCCACCCCCAACAAATGTTTTAGGTGTAAAAGATAGTCTTGTTACCTATATGCATATTGTTGTACAGATCTCTAGAACTTTTTCAGCTTGCATGACTGAAACTCTATACCCACTGAACAAACTGTCATTTTTTCCTCCCATTATCCTTGCGTAATCACTATTCTACTTTCTGCTTCTGAGTTTGACTGCTTTAGATACCTCATATAAGTGAAATGATGTGCTATTTGCTCTTCTGTAACTGGCTTATTTCATTTAGCAAAATGTCCTCAAGATTCATCCACGTCTATGATTTTTTTTTTTTTTTTTTTTTGAGACAGAGTCTCCGTCACCCAGGCTAGAGTGCAGTGACGCAATCTCGGATCATTGCAACCTCCACCACCCAGAGTTCAAGTGATTCTTGTGCCTCAGCCTCCCAAGTAGCTGGGACTACAGGCGCATGCCACCACACTGAGCTAACTGTTTTGTATTTTTTAGTAGAGACAGGTTTTCGCCATATTGGCCAGGCTGGTCTCGAACTCCTGACCTCAGGTGATCCACCCGCCTCTGCCTCCCAAAGTGCTGGGATTACAGGCATGAGTCACCGCACCCAATGAAACATCTCTTTTAAGGTTGAATAGTATTCCAATCTATGTATATATCACATTTTTGTTATCCATTTATCCATTCATCCTTAAAGGTTTTCACCTCTTGGCTACTGTGAATGTTGCAATGAACACAGGTGAAAGGACCCCTTCGAGATCATAATTTCAATTCTTTTGGATAAAAGCTGTTTCATCCTGGCTGAACCTGAGGCTACAGTCACCCCAAAAGAGACAGCAGAGGAATTGCCATAAGGCACTGCCCCAAAACATCTGGAAAGAAGACTGGCTGGAATTCCAAAGAAAGCAGCACTAAACATCAGTGGTCAGTCCAAAGCATTTATAAGGGAACTTATGTATAGAGGAGGCTGTGGTATCTCCTTGCTGGAACTGGCGAAATAAGGGATTTTCTTTCTCCCTGGGTATGTTCAACCTGTGAATGTACACGATGATGGGGTCAGGGTATAAAGTTTATATGAGGGCTTAAGAAATTTGGCTCAGGGTTGGAGCTAGTTCCTTTGAGGGTTTTGGGCAACAATCTGAGAAACCTTTATCAGTGCCTGGGAATGTTCAAAGCCTTGGCTTGGGTTCAAGCCTGCAGGGCAAAACAAGCAGCTGGCCAGGACACATAATGGTTAAAAACCTTGTGTTTCCGAGTCAGGACAGAGAAAAAGTGAAGGAAACTGAGAGAGCCAACATACCCCTAAGTGGGACTGTTGGATCTTACAGTTCTACTGTTAATTTTTTAAGGAACCTCCATACTGTATTCTACAGCAGCCGTATCATTTTACATTCCCACTAACAGTGCACAAGGATTCAGATTTCTCCACATCCTCACGAATATATATTTTTGAGTTGTTGTGTCTCTGTGTCGCCCAGGCTGGAGTGCAATGATACTATCACAGTTCACTGGAGCTTCAACCTCCCATGCTCATGAAGTCCTTCAGGCTCAAAAAATCCTCTTGCCTCAGCCTCCCAAGAAGCTGGGAGTACATGCTTGGCTAACTTTTTTTTTATTTTAAGAGATGAGCTACATTCCCCAGATTGGTCTCCTGAGCTCAACCAGTCCTCCCATCTTGGCCTCCCAAAGTGCTTGGCTAACAAGTGTGAATTACTGCACCCAGCCTGCTTGGCCTCTTCTGCCCTCCTGTATACTTGACTGATTGATTGAGACAGAGTCTCACTTGTCGCCCAGGCTGGAGTGCAGTGGTGAGATCTCGGCTCACTGCAACCTCCACCTCCCTGGTACAAGTGATTCTCCTGCCTCAGCCTCCCAAGTAGCTAGGATTACAGGCACCAGCCACCACACCTGCCTAATTTTTGTATTTTTAGCAGAGACAGGATTTCATCATATTGGCCAGGCTGGTCTCAAAACTCCTGACCTCAGGTGATCGGCCCACCTCAGCCTCCCAAAGTGCTAGGATTACAGGTGTGAGCCACCTCACCACCATATATTTTAAATCATCTCTAGGCCAGGTGCAGTGGCTCTCACCTGTAATCCCAGCACTTTGGGAGGCTGAGGTGGGCCGATCACCTGAGGTCAGGAGTTTGAGACCAGCCTGACCAACACGGGGAAACCCCGTCTCTACTAAAAATACAAAAAAATTAGCTGGGTGTGGTGGCACATGCCTGTAATCCCAGCTACTTGGGGAGTCTGAGGCAGAATAATCACTTGAACCCAAGAGGTGGAGGTTGCAGTGAGCTGCGATTGCACCATTGCACTCCAGCCTGGCCAACAAGAGCAAAACTCTGCCAAAAACAAAAAAACAAAAAAACTCTAGATTACTTATACCTGTCACGTGATCAATCCAGAGAGGGAAAAAATTACTTATACCAAGCACACTGTAAATGCTATGTAAATCATTGTTATACTGTAGTTTTAAAATGTGTTTTATATTGTTTCTGGTTTTTTTTTGTTTTGTTTTTTTGGAGACAGTCTCACTTTGTCACCCAGGCTGGAATACAGTGGCACGATCTTGGCTCACAGCAACCTCCACCTCCAGGGTTCAAGCGATTCGCCTGCCTCAGCCTCCTGGGTAGCTGGGACTACAGGCATGTGCCACCACACCCAACTAATATTTGTATTTTTAGTAGAAACAGGGTTTTGCCATGTTGGCCAGGCTCGTCTTGAACTCCACATCTCAGGTGATCCGCCCACTTCAGCCTCCCAAAGTGCTAGGATTACAGGCGTGAGTCCAGACTTGTCTTTGTTTTTGTTGTTGTTGTTGCTGCTTTCAAATAGTTCAAAAACAAGGTTGAATTCTTGGTTGAACCGTCAGATAGAAAGGGCCGAGTGTATATGGTTTGCAAATATTTTCTTCCATCCCTAAGTTGCCTTTTCACTGTCCTTTCTGTGCATCTTTTTAGTTTGATGTAGTCCCACTCATCTATTTCTGCTTTGGTTGCCTGTGCTTTTATTCTCATCCAAGAGATCATTGCCAAGACCATCGTTATGAAGCTTTTCCCCTATGTTTTCTGCTAGGATTGTATAGTTTCAGACTTTACTTTTAAATCTTCAATCCATTTTGATTTTTTTTTTTTTTTTTTTTTTTTTGGAGTCAGAGTCTCGCTGTGTTGCCTAGGCTGGAGTGCAGTGGCTCCATCTTGGCTCACTGAAACCTCCGACTCCCGGGTTCTAGCAATTCTCCTGCCTCAGTCTCCCAAGTAGCTGGGACTACAGGCACCCGCCGCCACACCCAGCTAATTTTTGTAATTTTTTTGGTAGAGACAGGGTTTCACTATTTGTCCAGGCTGGTCTTGAACTCCTGACCTCATGATCTGCTCACCTCGGCCTCCCAAAGTGCTGGGATTACAGGTTTGAGCCACCACACCTGGCCTTAAGTTGATTTCTATGTACAGCATTAAGGCAACAATCCAATTTCATTCTTTTGTATGTGGATGTCCAGTTTTCCCAACACTATTTATTGAAGAGATTTTACTACATTTCTTTTTGTTTTACAATTTTCCTTTATGATTTCCTACATTTGTGTGTTAGGCCTTCTCGACCACAAAATCACAAAAGTATTATGTTTTCTTTAGTACTTTATTGTTTTACATGTGAACCTTTAAGTTTCTCCCCACCTACTCCCATAGAAGAAGGGATATTCAATTGTCCCATACTATTTTTTGAATAACCTAACTCTCCCTTTGTTTCTACTAAGAGAGGTTTCTTTTTGGCTACAAGTAACAATATACATATACCCAAAGTGAATGGAACAATATAAAGAATATCTCACATAACAAAAAGTCCACAGGTAAAGCAGTTCCCAGATTGGTTAATTCAGAAGCACAATTCAGGTGCTTTCTATCTACATCCCGCTATCCTCAGTGTGATAGCTTTCATCTCCATACTTGTCCTTTCATGGCCATCAGAAGGCCATTGCAGATTAGCTTCAAACATCCATATCACATATCTTCACTGAGAAGCAGAAAAGGGATGCCGGCAAATCCCTATCTTGTATCAGTTGTTAAGAGCAACAGAAAATTTCTTATTCAAAGTCTTCAGACTTCCTTTATCTCATTAGCCGAGATTCCATCAAATGATCAGGCAAGCCAATACCATGATTGGCACAGAATCTAATCAACACTCACCCTCTCTGGACTAGGGAAGCACCCTATTCTACAGTACAAGGCAGCCATACAGAGTTTTAGACCAAAAAAAAAAAGAAAAAAGAAAAAAACATGGGGCTTTGTCAGCAAGGGAGAACGAAACGGCTGATGGGTAGGCATATGAATGTCTAACAAACCAACTTATCTGAACCCACCTTTTTCCCACACCTGTTTTACTTTGAAGTTCTCTACTGTGTTCTATTTTGATCTTCTGTGTCATTAGCTATTCCTGGGTCCTTATGACTTTTAACTTAATAAACTTTATATATGTATATTTGGTAGGAACTTTCCTAAATTTTTTCAAAATTAAAATTTTTTCCCCAAAATATGTGAGAATTAGGATTGCAGTCATGCATTGCTTAGCAAAGGGGATACATTCTGAGAAATGCATCATCATTAGGAGATTTTAAAACTGTACAATCACAGAGTGTACTTACACAAACTTAGATGGTATGATCTACTATACACCTAGGCTATGACCTATTGCTCCTAGGCTACAAACCTGTACAGCATATTATTGTAGTGAACACTGTAGGACACTGTAACACAATGGTAAATACTTGCATATCTAAACATAAAGAAGGTACAGTAAAAATACAGTATTGTAATCTTATGGAACCACCGCCATATATGTGGTCAGTCATTGACTGAAACATCATTATAGGGCACATGGCTAGAATTTAATAAATCAAGTTAAACAAATAACTTTGTACTGTACCCTTCCATGAAAGGAAAATGGTATGCCTCTAAGTTGAGTTTTCTTTAATGTTCTAAAGTACATTTTTATAGTTTTTATTTCATGTTTTTAATATAATGTTTGGTTTAGTCAATCTTCTTAATCTGCCATTTCTATGGCAGAGTATCCAGTGAAACATCTTGTTTGGTGAGTCAGTCACCCCCTCCTGCATAGTTCCCTGTCACACAAATACATGCAAAAGGGTAATAAATAAATGGGAAACAAAGTATAGTTTTAGTAATCAAAACATGCAAGGTTCTAACAAAAGCTGGAGATATCTGCTTATGTCAAATAATTTAAGTATGAGAAAGTAAGTAGAAGAGGTGGTAAGAAAGATATATCAGATGAGCACTGACCCCAAACCACTAAGATGATATGGTCCAAAAAATGTCAGAATGACTAATCCAATTATCCACCTCTCTGCTCAGCTGGAAGAGTAAAGAAGGGAATAAAGATGTTAGACCCTTTACCAGGACTTCCACGCATGGGGAGAGAAGGTGAAAGTCAAAACTGTAACAGGAATAAATTCAAAAATTCTTTCCAAACATACCTAATATTCTTTGGCCCTAGAGTCACTGAATTCACATTTAAACTAATCTATTATTTCATTTTGATCACATTAATGGAGCTCTGAAGGAATGAAACATATTAAAGCAAAATTAAATTTATAAACAATTTAGGCAGTCATATTTGTATTTATATATACACACATACAATGTATATATGAAATCCTTATACAGGTGGAAAAATTCTTAATAAATTATAAGCAATAAAATAAAAAAATTTAGTATGTTTGCTTTTTAAAATAAAAACTTGTTCATTCTTATCACAAATAATTCTGTTGGTACATAATTTTCTCTCATGCTAATTCAACAAACCCTGAGCTTTGTTTCTCCATCTATGGCTAAATACATATCACTCTAACCAAATAAAAAGGTTTAAAATAAGGGTCCTACATCTTGGTGTCCGGTTATTTGAAATCAGGTTTTCATTTTGAATAATTTTGGTTAAGTGTATGTCATGGCAGAATGTCCCTTTATCTCCTTTGAGTTGATCTGTGTTAAACTGATAAAAATACATGCTTACTCCTGCACAAACATCAAACAATGTAATTAAATCATCACTACTTGAAATACTTTTACACAAATAATTTATCTCTTTACACTGTTGAAGCCTTGCATTTCAGTATGTTCTACAGCTTCTGTATCATCACCTGAAATTTGCCTTAAAAAAAAAAAACATACAAATAATTATTTGATTTTTAGATACAAAGAAAACAAGTCTAAACATCAATTTTCTGTTCCATATAGGAAATAGTCTCAGTCAAGAAATCTGCTATGTCAAAAACCTTTTCACATTCTTCATAATATTCAATAAGTCAATTCTATTTTTTCTTTTCTTTTTTAGATGGATTCTTGCTCTGTCGCCCATGATGGACTGCAGTGGCACGATCTTGGCTCACTGCAACCTGCACCTCCCAGGTTCAAGTGATTCTCCTGCCTCAGCCTCCTGAGTAGCTGGGACTACAGGCGTCCGCCACCACACCCAGCTAATTTTTGTATTTTTAGTAGAGACAGGGTTTCACCATATTGGCCAGGCTGGTCTCAAACTCCTGACCTCGTGATAAGCCCATCTCGGCCTCCCAAAGTGCTGAGATTACAGGTATGAGCCACCACGCCCAGCCAGTCAATTCTATTTTTATGGGACGATTATATGGTTTGTGAGTAAGCACTTTTGTTTCTCTTTATGAATCCTACATTTGGGTACAGTATTTCATTGCTAATGATCATTGTAAATGTAAAGGAAATACAATAAAGCTCAAGGCCTCTCGGTTGGTAGCTCTGATGAAAAGATCTTTAGGGAGACATTTAGTGATAAAAGAGTATCTGGTTTTACTTAGCAGTATATAATAGGTGTATCCTAAACAATTGTTTAAAAATAGCATTTTCAATGTTCTAGGGAAATCTGCTATCTTAAAACAGTGCAGGAGATATTCAGAGGAATATCTTTTAAAAAATTAAAGTTTAAATAACTTTAGAAGAGTTAAAAATCATCCCTTAAATTGTCTTATAAATTTGGATTTCTTTAGTCCATTATTCAAAAATTACTGAGTATGAATATAGTATGCTACATATTACTAAATGTTACATTGATAAAACTAAAATTGAAGTTTCAGCATTTCAAATTTCCTCTCAGTTAAATTTAAAAAAAAAAAAAAGACCTGAAAACAAATTACTAAAACATCTGTAAGAAAAGTGAATTCAACTTACAAGCAGGCATTGAAGACACTTCAGCTGTTACAATACTTTTTATTCCCAAGTTTGATAAGCCACCTCTGATTAAGCCACATGTAAATGCTAAATACTAAAAGGAAAAAAAATCATTAAAAATAGTAAGGATTTACTAAAATAGTAAAGCTATTGATAAATACAACATTACATGATTTATCATCAGTAGGTCATTCCTGTTTTAAAAAAGGATTTTGGAAGATTGTTTAAGTCACTGAAAAATATTGATAGATTTCACAGCTCCCCGGAAACTAAAGCATGAACATAGGACTTAAGACTTAAGCTCAGCCAATTAAGCACTCCAGTCCAGGACTGTGAATCTAGAGTCACTGACAAAAACAAGCCAGAAACAGATAGGAATTAGTTCTGGAGGCAGTAAAGGTAGTTTGTGTCTACAGTCCATGCTGCCCACAGCATTATAAGTAGATACATTCTGTGGAGTGACTTGGCTATCTTAATGGCTGCCTTAAAACTCCCCTGGTTATTGCCTATTTTTTGAGCTTATCAATTGTGTTAGCTTACAAGCAGAATTTCTTTCCTTTATTTACAACCAAGAATCTTGACTTGTTCAAGACTTATAGCTTGCCACAACAAAGAATTATCTGGTTGAAAGTATCAACAGTTTGGATGTTGAGAAACCCTGTCATATAGAAACAAAGAAAGGGAATAGGGCTGAGCTACAACACCAAAAGTCATGACAAGAACTGGATTGAAAAACTAGCAATTCAAGGAATTTTTGATTACCCACATCTATACTGCATGATGTTCAACATACTACATTATCTATGAATAATATAAATATATATAAATAAATACAAATATATATATTTAAATAAATATAAATAATATAAAATATTATCTTACAAATAAAATACATAAACGGGTACTAATAAGTAACTAGATCTGAGTCATGAAATTTTAAGCTGGAAGAGGTCTTAGAGATTGTTTATCCCAAGAGTTCTTAATCTGGGATTTGTGACCCCTATGAAAATAAAAACCATGCATATGTGCGTATTTATGGGGAAAGGTGTTCCAATTCTCAAAGATGTCCATAACTCAAAATAGTTAGAAATCACTGAATTGGTCCAACTTACTCTTTTCACAGCTGAAGAAACCAAGATCCCAAAAAGTTAAGTGAGAACCAGAAACATTAAGTTAGATGTTAGTAAACAAGAGAAAATACGCCAGCTGTGGCCCGCAATCCCAGCACTTTGGGAGGCTTTTGTAATCACGCCTGTAATCCCAGCACTTTGGGAGGCTGAGGCAGGCGGATCATGAGGTCAGGAGTTCGAGACTAGGTTGGCCAATATGGTGAAACTAAAGATACAAAAAATTAGCCAGGCATGGTGGCGCACACCTGTAATCCCAGCTACTCAGGAGGCTGAGGCAGGAGAATCACTTGAACCCAGGAGGCGGAGGTTGCAGTGAGCTGAGATGGCACCACTGCAGTCCAGCCTGGGCAGGAGGGCTTCATCCAAAAAAAAAAAAAAAAAAAAGCAGAAAATACACACATTAACCATAAAAATGTAATTAGAGCCTGGATACCCCAAAAATATAGAAAATAGGCAATCAGGCCAGATGCGGTGGCTCACACCTGTAATCCCAACACACTGGGAGGCCAAGGTGAGGTGATCACTTGAGCCCAGGAGTTCAAGACAAGCCTGGACAACATAGTGGGATCCCATCTCTACTAAAATTTTGTTAAAAATTAGCCAGGCATGGTGGCCCATACCTGCAATCCTACCTCCTTAGGTGACTGAAGTGAGAGGATCATTTAAGCCTAGGGGGGTTAAGGTGAAGATAGGCCATGATTGCACCACTATACTCCAGCCTGAATGACAGAGCAAGACCTTATCTTAAAAAAAAAAAAAAAAAAGAAGTGATCTACCACACATCTATATGTCACTGTCATTTATAGTGTTTCTTTTTTTGAGATGGAGTTTCCCTCTTGTACCCCAGACTGGAGAGCAATGATGGCACGATTTCGGCTCACTGCAACTTCTGCCTCCCAGGTTCAAGTGATTCTCCTGCCTCAGCCTCCCAAGTAGCTGGCAATGCAGGCGCTCACCACAAAGCTCAGCTAATTTTCAGTTTTGGTAGAGACGGGGTTTCACCATGTGGGCCAAGCTGGTCTTGAACTCCTGACCTCAGGTAATCCACCTGCCTTGGCCTCCCAAAGTGCTGGGATTACAGGTGTGAGCCATCGCGCCCAGCCAGTGTTTCTTTTAATTGGTCACTCTATGACTATTTAGCTACAGTTTAGTGTTATTGTACCATGTCTCTCATTTCACAGAAAACTCTTTAAACAAAAAACAACACCTTAAAACATACTTTTAATTCAATAGTCTGTTATGATTAGCATTGTACTTTTCCCTGTAGTCCTACTATTAACAGAAACCCCAATTATTATTAATTATTCCATTAAATACCTTAGATGCATGTTCTAAATACTGTTTTCCTGCAGACATCTGAGTAAGCAGGCGAAATTTGTTGTCCTGAAGTACATAGATGCCCTGTTCCAAAAATAGAAAAAATATCCAAAGTCAATGTAGCTAGCAATCCTTAAAATTATTTTATTCTTATGAAACAATGTAAGAGTTTTTTAAAGTTATTAAAAGTCTCCTTCCCATTGGCCAAATTTTCTTTTTCTGTTCTTGGGAGACAGGGTCTCCTCTGTCACCCAGGGTAGAATGCAGTGGCACAATTACACCTCACTGCAGCCTCTAACTCCCAGACTCAATCGATCCTCCCACTGCAGGCTCCCAAGTAGCTGGAACTACAGGCGTGCACCACCAAGCCCTACTAATTTTTATATTTTTCTGTAGAGATAGGGTTTCGCCATTTTGCCTAGGCTGGTCTCAAAACTCCTGAGCTTAAGCAATCTGCCCACCTTGACCTCCCAAAGTGCTGGGATTGCAGGCATGAGACCACATGCCCAGCCTGGTCAAATTTTGTTTAAAGGAGTTTTGCAATGTTCAAGCTGAAGAGTTGCAAGTTCAATATTTTCACGACACTAATATCTACTGAACGGTTTTATACACTAAAGATATAAAGACTATATGAGACATAGTCCCTATCCTTAAAAACTCATAGTCTAGTATGATGGAATCATTAATATATGTCCATATGAAATAAGCTGTTGGTTTGTTTGTATATTTATTTATTTAGACATGAGCTCTCACTTTGTTGCCTAGGCTGGAGTGTGGTGGTACAATCACAGCTCACTGCACCCTTAAACAAAACCTGGGTGTTTGAGCAATTCTCTTGCCTCAGTCTCCCGAGTAGCTGGGACCACAGGCACACACCACATCTGTCTAGTTGTATTAATTTTTTGTAGAAAGGGGGTCTCCCTATGTTGCCTAGACTGGTCTTGAACTCCAGGGCTCAAGTAATCCTCCTCCTCAGCCTCCCAAAGTGCTGAAATCACAGGTATGAGTCACCACGCTTGACCTAATTTTTATTTTTATTTATTTAATTTTTTGAGACAGAGTTTCACTCTTGTTGCCCAGGCTGGAGTGCAATGGCTCGATCTCAGCTCACCGCAACGTCCACCTCCTCGGTTCAAGCGATTCTCCTGCTTCAGCCTCCCAAGTAGCTGGGATTACAGGCATGTGCCACCACGCCCGACTGATTTTGTATTTTTAGTAGAGACGGGGTTTCTCCATGTTGGCAGGGCTGGTCTTGAACTCCCAACCTCAGGTGATCCGCCTGCCTCGACCTCCCAAAGTGCTGGAATTACAGGCATGAGCCACCGCACCCGGATTTATTTATTTATTTATTTACTTATTTATTTGAGACAGAGTCTTGCTCTGTCGCCCAGGCTGGAGTGGAGAGGCATGACCTAGGCTCACTGCTACCTCTGCCTCCTGGGTTCAAGCAATTCTCCTTCCTCAGCCTCCCGAGTGGCTGGGACAATAAGCGTGTGCCACCATGCCTGGCTAATTTTTGTATTTTCAGTAGAGACAGGGTTTCACCACGTTGGCCAGGCTGGTCTCGAACTCCTCACCACAGGTGATCTGCCCACCTCAGCCTCCCAAAGTGCTGGGATTACAGGGGTGAGCCACCGCACCCAGCCTTATCTACATCATGTCTAGAAAGTAAAAATTCAAGAGTCATTTCTTCCCATTAGCATTTCCCGTAATTCCAAGCTAAAGCTGGTACAAAATGAATTCTAGGCCAGGCACAGTGGCTCACACGTGTAATCCCAGCACTCTGGGAGGCCAAGGCGGGAGGATCCATTGAGCACAGGACTTTGAGACCAGTCTGGACAACATAGTGAGACACTGTCTCTAATTAAAAATAAATAAATAAATAATCCTATTGAGAGTACCAGATACATTTTTTTAATTTTTTACTTAATCAAAATTCCAAATCTACTCTAAGTATTTCCTTGAGTTCATAAAATAAAATCTAATGAAGCTGGGAGTGGTGGTGCACGCCTATAATCCCAGCTATGCAAGAGGCTGAGGCCAAAGAATTACTTAAGTCCAGGAGCTCAAGACCAGTCTGGGCAACATAGCGAGACTCTGTCTCCCTTTTAAAATTTTAATAAATACATAGTCTTCTATGTAATCTATTAATTTTGTAAGAAAATCTTTTAAGAGTAGAAAATACGACAGCAGTGATAATCCAGGAGTTACTTAAGAGTAAAATATGCTCTACAAATTAGACCTTAGAAATGACTATAAAGAATCTCTTCCTGCCACCCAAGATGCCCAAAGGAAAGGCCAACGGGAAAGAGGTGGCTCCAGCCCTTGCTGTCATGAAGAAACAGGAGGCCAAGAAAGTGGTGAATCCTGGTCAGGCGTGGGATTCTGTACTCCCAGCATATTGGGAGGCTGAGGCAGGTGGATCACTTGAGGTCAGGAGTTCGAGACCAGCCTGGCCAGCATGGTGAAATCCCATTTCTACTAGAAATACAAAAATTAGCTGGAGTGGTGGCACATGCCTATAGTCCCAGTTACCTAGGAGCCTGAGGCAGAATGGCTTGAACCCGGGAGGCAGAGGTTGCGGTGAGCCGAGATCGCGCCATTGCACTCTAGCCTGGGCAACAGAGCAACACTTCGTCTCAAAAAAAAAAAAAAAAAAAAGAAAAGAAAAGAAAAGAAAAAGTGGTGAATCCCCTGTATGAGAAACGGCCTAAGAATTCTGGCATTGGACAGGACATCCACCCAAAATGGACCTCACTCGCTTTGTGAAATGGCCCCACTATACCAGGTTGCAGCGGCACAAAGTCATCCTCCTGTAAGCAGTCGAAAATGCCTCCTACAATTAACCAGTTCACCCAGGCCCTGCACCACCAAACAGCTACTTATCTGTTTAAGCTGTCCCACAAGTACAAAGACAAAGCAAGAAAATAAGCAGAGGCTATTGGCCCGGGCTGAAAAGAAAGCTGCAGGCAAAGGGGATGTCCCCACTAAGAGACCACTTGTCCTCCAAGCGGGAGTTTAACACCATCACCACCTTGAAGGAGAACAAGAAGGCTCAGCTGGTGGTGACTGTACACTATGTGGATCCCATCAAGGTGGCTGTCTTCCTGCGTGCTTTGTGTCGTACAATGGGGGTCCCTTCCTGCATTATCAAGGGGAAGGCAAGACTGGGACGTCTAGTCCACAAGAAGACCTGCACCACTGTCACCTTTACATAGATTAACTCGGAGGACAATGGAGCTTAGGTTCAGTGGGTAGAAGCTATCAGAACCAACTACAACGACAGACACGATGAGATCAGCTGTCACTAGGGAGGTAATGTCTTGGGTCCCAAGTCTGTAGCTTGAATTGCCAAGCAGGAAAAGGCAAAGGCTAAAGAACCTGCCACCAAACTGGGTTAAATATACATTGTTGAGTTTTCTGTATATAAAAATAATTAAAATAATACAAATTCTTCAAAAATAAAAGAAATTACTCTAAAGACATAAAGGTGATATATTTGTGGTTCTGCATATTATTACCACTAATGAACAGTAACTAAGGAACCAAATACTAAAAGCTATTATCATCCTGACTTTTGCTACTTTAAAAAACTTAACATAGCATATAATTGGGTGAAAGGAACAGCTATCATTACTGATAACTGTCCCTTTGTCTTTATTCAGTTCACACTACTGGAAGAAAAAAACTAATAACTTATTAATAACATAAAAATACTCCAAAGTTAACCAGAAATTATTTTAGGTTTTAAATAAGTCACTAAAATACAGTATTTATATTAAGTTAAAGGACTTTAAAATATAGGCCTTAATTAATTTAATTACCTGATGATTTGTCCTTAGATTGTCGATTTGTTTCTTGAATACCGTAGTCCAAAAATCTTTACAAATGAACTTCATGATATCTAACTCATCCTTGAACCTTGCAGTATCTTTTGTAAACCTAAAAAGATCAACTAGAAGTAATACAGTATTTATTCTCCAAAAAAAGCAAGAGGGACTAATTATTAACTAATTTCCAAATGCCAGAACAGCACTGAACATTTATTGGGTTATTTTAAATTTTAATTATTTTTTGAGACAGGGTCTGGCTCTGTTGCCCAGGTTAGAGTGCAGCAGCATGATCTTGGCTCATTGCAATGTCTATCTCCCTCCCAGACTCAAGCCATCCTCCCACCTCAGCCTCCCTTGTAGCTGAGACCACAGGCACATGTCACCATGCCCAGCTAATCTGTATATTTTTGTAGAGACAGGGTCCTACTTTGTTGCCCTGGCTGGTCGGTCTCAAACTCCTGAGCTCAAGCAATTCTTGGCCTCCCGAAGTGCTGGGATTACAGGCATGAGTCACCACACATGGCTGAACATTTATTGACACTCATAAAGTCATAAGTACCAGGCAACGTGATCCTATGTCAATGGATTCACATTACGTTATATAAATTATGAGGCCTCAAATTAGTCTAAACATTATAGCCAAAATTTCAGGTGCAATGCATTCTAGCACATCAAAAAAACCACAAAAGAACAAAGAGCTGAGCATTATCATGACATTGTTATATAAATAATACTCAACTATTCAGGTAGTGAGAAAGAAATACTAAAAAGAATTGATCTATAAGTTCAAAGATAATTACACACATAAACATAGACTATAGTTATTTCAATCCTATGTACATAAAAATTCAATGCAGGTTAAAGAACCCAGTAGATCTTAAGTTAAAAATGCAGTAAGATTTTAGGTAGCTGTTTCAATAGCTTCAGGAAGAAAGTCTAAAATACATAACACATATATTTTCTTTAATCATTAAAATAAAATTTGAATAAACGAGTTAAAATGGCATTGGATCTAAAAATAAATTTTAATTTTTGAAATAAAGAGAAGAAATAACATTCAGGAATTAAAATTAAAGTATCCCAAGTTTTATGCAATCTTTTGAAATAGATTATCTTTGTTTATAACCTACCTGCAAGAAAATTTTCAAATCCAACCTGCTCACCTTTCTATCAATCCTTGTCCCACTCGAAACCCCATGTTTTCCAGCTTAGTAATACATCGTCCGTTTTCCTGTTTTAAAAAAGAATAGTTTTAAATACTTTTAGAATGCTAGGATGTTAGTGTTCAGAAATTGTTTTACAATATTGGTTAAAAATATTAATGTAAACATTTATAATTTTTTCCCTGAGACATTTTAAGAAAAAGTGAATTATATGGTTGATTTTATTTATTTTACTTTACTTTTACTAACTTTACTTTTTACTATTTTTTTGATAAACAAGTTAATTCATAATTTAGTTAACATATACATAATTAACCTAAAAACTTCAATAGAAGGATACATTTTTAAAATTTATTTTATTTTGAGATGGAGTCTCGCTCTGTCACCCAGGCTGCAGTACAGTGGGGTCATCTCGGCTCAGCAACCTCCACCTACAGGGTTCAAGTGATTCTCCTGCCTAAGGTTCCCAAGTAGCTGGAATTATAAGCACCCACCACCATGCCTGCCTAATTTTTGTATTTTTAGTAGAGAAAATACAAAAATACAAAATGTTGGCCATGCTGGTCTCAAACTCCTGACCTCAAGTGATCCACCTGCCTCGGCCTCCTAATGCGGGGATTACAGGCATGAAGCCACCGCACCCAGATAGAAAGACACATTTTAAAACCACTTGGAAGGCCATCTCTATAGAAGTGATTTTCCCAGGATAGTAACCAGATGTAACCTAAACCAACACCATCTTAACTGGCAGAGGTTCAATGGGTTGAAGCTTTGTGCTCCTCCCTGACACCAAGTTTTTTAATACAAACAAATCCCTCAAGGTGCGGTGGCTCATGCCTGTAATCCCAGCACTTTGGGAGGCCAAGGCAGGAGGATCACTTGAGCTCGGTGGCTCAAGACCAGCCAGGGCAACATAGCAAGACCACATCTCTACTAAAAATAAAAATAGCTGGGCATGGTAGCATGTGCCATTTTGGAGGCTGACGCAGGAGGATTGCTTGAGTCCAAGAAGTTGAGGCTGCTGTGAGCCATGATGATGTCATTGCACTCCAGCCTAGGCAACAGGTTGAGCAAGGGACCCTGTCTCAAAAAAAAAAAAAAGAAAAGAAAAGAAAAAAGAAATAGAGACAGAAAAGAGAAAGAATTTCACTATTGTTTCTTCTTAGGAAAAAACTCCAACCTTATGAGACCAACCACAACACAATGAAAAGTTGCACTAACTACTTCAGAATATTAGTAACAGTTGATGTTGGTACGAATAACTGGTATTTATTCTAGAGTCCTTATAAATAAAATCCCACAGTTAGCATTTGCATTATCAGCTAGAGGGTTAGTTAACACGTAGTAGAATGAGGACTTACACAAGGTGTAATACACAGCATTTTACTACTATGAAAACAAACGCAGTCCAGTTAGGAGAAAACCAAGTGGATTCTAAGTTACACATATCTTAATGACAAGACTCCCCACCATTTGTGAATGTAAAACAATTAATTTTTAAATGTTGACATTATAATATTTAAAATAGCTATCATAAACGTACATAATGTATTCCATGCTAGGTTTTTGTTTGTTTAAGGAAAATGTAAGTTATACTGTGGTTAAGGCATGTATCTTCACTCTTGAAAAGGCCCACATTCTATCACAGTAATGTATGGTCAGACTTAGCCCCAAATGTTAGACACCTGGATTGAGACATAACCAGCTATATTGTGAAAGGAACCTATATACATTTATCAACTCTAGTTCCTTAATAGGTACCTAACAAGTCATTAACATACAGAAACATGCATCATGAGAACCAAGAAATACCACCCATCCCTTCTGCATATCAGCAATTTGTCACTCTTGAGCAACAGTGCTTGTATCACTGAGGTCTATGAATAGTCACTTTTCACATTCATCCCAAGAGACAGAATGACCTTTTTTTTGTTGTTTTTTTTCTGAGACAGAGTCTCACTCAGTCGCCCAGGCTGGAGGGCATTGGTGCGATCTTGGCTCACTGCAAACTCCACCTCCCGGGTTCACGCCATTCTCCTGCCTCAGCCTCCCAAGTAGCTGGGACTACAGGCGCCCACCACCACGCCTGGCTAATTTGTTGCATTTTTAGTAAAGACAGGGTTTCACCATGTTAGTCAGGATGGTCTCAATCTCCTGACCTCATGATCCACCCGCCTCGGCCTCCCAAAGTGCTGGGATTACAGGCATGAGCCACTGTGCCCGGCCTGAGATAGAACGACTTAAGCACAAATGCCACATATTATAATTTCTCACCAAAAAGTCACAAATTAAATCAAAATATTTTACACAATTATATAAAATGCCTTAAAATCTGCCTTCATTTAAGCTCGCTCTCTCTGTATCTGGCAAGTCAACTGGATGTCTTTGGGTATGAGAGCCACCTCTCTTACTGTAGATGGCACACAAATTAGCATCTTCAAATCAACCCACCAGGTACACTTCACTAGCCTCCTGCAGCGCCCCAGTGACTGTGCTCTGAAACCTCAAGTTGGTTTTGAAATCCTGGGTGATCTCTCTCACCAACCTCTGGAAAGGCAGCTTCTAGATGAGAAGTTAGGTCAATTTCTGATAATGAGAATCTCTGGAAGTGCCGCAGTCCCAGGCCGATAGCGATGAGGTTTCTTCACCGGACTGGTAGAGGGGACACTTTTTATCTGGCAGCGTTAATAACCTGCTGTTAGGAGGAGGGGTTCCCACCAGTGGATTTACAAGCAGTTGATTTGGCTTGGGCCATTTGCTTTTACCTAACGTCAAAGTTTTAGGTCACTTCTTCAATCACCACACTGCTTCTGCTGCCCAAGGAAAAATCACAGTGTCCAAGCAAAGAATAGATGTTCCTCCAACAAAGGACCAAACTGCTATTTACTTATTTATTTGACAGGTCTTGCTCTGACACCCAGGCTGCAGTGCAGTGGCGAGATCATGGTTCATTGAAGCTTTAAATTCCTGGGCTCAAGCAATCCTCCCACCTCAGTCTCCCAAGTAGTTAGGACTACAGGCACATCATCATGCCTGGCTATTTTTTTTTTTTTCTTTTTAAGAGATGAAGTCTCACTATACTACCCAGGCTGGTCTCAAAGTCCTGACCTTAAGATATCCTCCTGGCTTGGCCTCCCAAAGTAGTGGGAATACAGGTGTGAGCCACACCATTTTCACAAGGTAACAGCATAAACAGGGAACTACTGCTTATAATTGATTTTCAGAAATCAAATCCTCTTCCTAATTACTCCTCGTCTCCCTCTTATGCCCATTTCAGTCATTCTTCTCTCCTAGGTTATAAAACCTGGTATCACCTGATGTTCTTCCCTGAGTCAAATCCTTTTTGCGCTCACTAAGTTCTATTGTTTCTTGCTTCAAAATGTCTCAGAATCATCCAGGCTTCCCAGTTCTCAGTGTCTTAGCTGATTACCACACTTTGCCTTAAATCATGAGATTGCTTTGCTCTTCCTTTGACAATCTCATTCAGTCTTAAGGCTTTAAATACTACCTCTATGCTGAACACATCCAAATCCTGTGGATGACTGATGGACTGTCCTCTACAACCCAGACCCCATACCTCTCTGGCCTCAACCTTCTGCAGACTCACTCTGTGCTGTCCCTTAAACATGCCAGGCACATTCCAGGGACTTTTGCATCACCTCTTCCTCCAGATATTCACACAACCCAACTCCCTCACTTCCTTTGAGTCTACTCTCATGTCACCATCTTAGGCTCATTTTAACCATCTTCTTTAAAAGTGCAACATCACACCCCTTTGGCAACTCTCTATCCTAGTGATCTTAAAAACGTGTTGGCCGGGTGCAGTGGCTCACACTTGTAATCCCAACATTTGGAAGGCTGAGGTGGGCGGATCATGAAGTCAGGAGATCGAGACCATCCTGGCTAACACAGTGAAACCTCATCTCTACTAAAAATACAAAAAATTAACCAGGCATGGTGGCACATTCCTGTAATCCCAGCTACTCAGGAGGCTGAGGCAGGAGAATCGCTTGAACCCAGGAGGCAGAGATTGTAGTGAGCCAAGATCGTGCCACTGCACTCCAGTCTGGGTGACAGGGCGAGACTCCATCTCAAAAAAAAAAAAAGACCAGCAACATCAGCATCACATGAGAACTTGCTAAAAATGCAAATTCTCTAGTCCCACTCCCAACTTACTTAATCAGAAACTCTGGGTATGGAGCCACTAATCAGCTTTAACGAGCCTTCTAAAAATTGATTTTGACGCTCAGTCCCACTTCCTTGCTTAATTCGTCTCCACAGAATTTCTTTCACCATTTAACATACTACACATTTCACTATTTTATGTTGCCCATGTGCCCCTTGCTCCCCTCTCTGCTAAAATAAAGCTCCAAAAAGGCAGGGATTTTTGTATATTTTGAAGCCTGTTTGTCTCCCACTAAGGAAACCATAGGCCTTATTATTCGATAAACTTTCTTCTAAGGAACCATGCACTCTGTTTATGGTGCTGTGACTACCAAAACTGTATTTCTAGTACAGACTTTATTGGGCATAGACATCTAGTGGTCCCACAGGACCTTCGAAGTATGCATATTCAACATGATATTCATTTTATTAATGTCTTCAGCCTGCTCTGCCTCCAAAATTCCCTAAATTCATTAATGGCACGACCATTTACCTAGTTACTCTAACCAGAAAACTTCCATTTTCTTCACCCCTGAGGTCCCAACCCCTACATACACTGTAGTCCAGTGGAGCCTACCTTTTTCAAGCTTTTCAAAATTCACCTTCTCTCTCTACCCTTACTTCTTCAGTAAGGCCTTATCATTTCTCTCCTGGTTTTTAGCTATAGCCTTCTAACTGGTCTTGTCTCATTTTTTCCTACTTTGTGTCATCTTCTATATTTCTGGTAGTATAATTTCTACCAAAGTAGATTTCTGAAAAAAAAATCATGTTATTCCCAGCCGGGCACGGTGGCTCACGCCTGTAATCCTAGCATTTTGGGAGGCCAAGGCGGGCGGATCACCTGAGGTCATGAGTTTAAGACCAGCCTGACCAACATGGAAAAACCTCATCTCTACTAAAAATA